AGTAAAATTCGATTCATATTACAGTTCGATACTATGTGATTTATGAAAATTTCCAACTGTGTAGTTTGTAGTGCAGCCGTCCGTCAGTAACTTACTGTAAATCCCGGCACAAATACTGTATTTACATGTACAGCACTGTTTATCTTGCTGTATATGTATTTACAGTATTGAACATCTTATTTTTTTACAATGCCACTTTAACATACAGAAACATACTGCATAACTGTCCTATGATTCAATTCAGTTCATATTACAGTTAAATACTGTTTCATTTATGAAAACTTTACAAAGGCTGCGTTCCAGTCACTAACTTCCATTAGTCTTGTTCCCTCAGATGCACATCATTGATTACGTTATATCCAGTAGTGTCCACTACTGGAAGAATATCAGAATGGGTTTAAATGGAATGCCTTAAACCCTTAAGCTCTTGGGAACTACACTGTTGTGACATCACATTTGCATTTCATTCTGGCACATATAGATGCTGGAGTGAACATATGAAACTGACTTACTCTCTTGGTCAATATTAAGCTTCCCTCATTTACTTGATGAAGTGGAAAATGCCATTAGGGATTTTTCAGAGGGAACTCAGGGTAATCCTAATGCTAATTTGAAGTGTGTTCCAACTATTCAAACCCCATTAAGATGTTTTGTCAGTAGTGGACACTTGTGCTACGTAATCAATGATGTACATCCAAAGGAATGAGACATCCAAGGCAAGTCAGCGAGTAAAGGGCAAAAAAGTTGTATTGGAATGTGGCCTAAAAGTGGAGTGGAACGCATCCATAGCTGAGCTCTTATTTGGTTAGACTTTATAACTGGACTTGGTTAAACTTTATAAATGCAGATTTAATGTTTTGTAAGAACGTGTCTGGTGCAAATGTGCAAAACTGGTACATGTGTTGGTTAAAGTGTGAGAGAGATGAGGGAATGTGTTTTCTACAAGTGGTTTGTCAAGCCCACTCACCTGTGTTAGGCACACTCCATTCAGGTTTGTCGTGTGGTGAGGAGGAGGAGAGGTTGTAGACCTTTAGGTGAACTAAAGAGGGTGCAGTGCCAGTGGCTGTTCTGTAAACCAGGAGTTCCCAAACTTTTAAGCCCGCAACCCCCAAAATAACAATTCCAGCAACTCGCAACCTCCAACGTTCTCTGAAGTTAAATATTTAAACCTGTCACACAACGGCACACACATACCAATAGGCCCAAGTCTATTTATCTTTTAATTTTTCGAGAACACCACATGGAGATCATACTCAGTATTCACTTGTGGCCTGTATTTATTTTTAATGTACTTGAGTGTCGTAAAGGTGTCAGAAAGTTTAATCTAATGCCATAATGACACCATTCTTTGTCTTTATTATAACGGAATCACCCCATGCAGCGGTCACAAAAAATCTAAAGGCTGATGGCTTTTTATTTGCATGTTGCTTTTTTATGTTTAAATTAACATGTTTACAATGTTGCTATTAACTACTATTGTTGTTCCGACCCCCACTCTGGGAACCACTACTGTAACTAAATATCAATGATTTGAACTCGATACGACCCTCGGCTGTTAACCGATGCAAAAAGATTAAGAACACACAAGGAGTTACATAGGCTCTCTTGGGCTCATTGAAGACCAGACAAGCTGCAGCGTTCTGGATCATCTATTGAGGCTTAAGGGTCCAAGGTGGAAGTCCAGCTAGAGGACCATTGCAGTAGTCGAGCTCGTGAAATGACAAGAGCTTGGACTAAGAGTTGTGCAACATGATCAACATAATAGGCTAATATTTTTGTCTCGATTGGCTACAGAGCAAAACACTGTTGTCCAAAACCTTGCCAAACTAACCTAACTTACATAATAAAACAACCTTTAAATGGCACTTTTAGCCGAATGCTTCTATCTTGAAAAAAAAAAAAAAAAAACTAGAAAATTGCATGCACTGTCATCATGGCAAAGAAAGAATAAATAAATTATTAGAAATTATAGTATTAAAACTGTCTAAAAATTTTCTCAATGTTAAACAGCGCTTTGGAAATATTTTAAACAGAATTACAATTTCAGAGAAGGACTCTTTTCAGAGAAGGATACTTTTTTAATGTATATTTTAAAATATCACCATAAACATTATTATTTGTTAAAAGCAGAAAATAACATTAGGTGATATTCATTTTTCATTTGACTGTTCATTCAAAAAATATTTTTGCTGCTTGTTCAAACTACTTGCTTTATTTTTATAGCGCTTTTACAATGTCGATTGTGCCAAAGCAGCTTCACATAAATGGTCATAGTAACTGAATCAGGGTAGTTCAGTTTTTAGTGTTTAAGTTCAGTTCAGAGGAGACCTATGAAAAGAATTCATAAGTCTCAAACTCGATTCCTGGAGGGCCGCAGCTCCAACCCTGATCAAACACAGCTGATCCAACTAATCAAGCTGTTCAAGACTATAGACTGTTAAGCAGTTGTGAGTTGGAGATGGTTGGAGCTAATCTATGCAGAGCTGCGGCCCTCCAGGAATCGCGACCACTGGCTTAATTGTTTTATGTTCAATCAACTTTAAATTGTAGAAACCATTGAGTTAACTTAATTTGCATCGAGACAAGATTTTAAATGTATACTTGACAGTATTAAGCCTAAATGTCAAATAGTCAACAATTTAACTGATGAAGTCTTCATAACAACAATAAACTGTTGTTGCTCTATCTGCATTTGGTCTGTTTAGATAAATCACATTTTAATAATATTGTTTTGATATTTGATATTGTACATTTTCAACAAATTTAGAGTCTTAATTGTTTATGTACTTTTCTCATTTTAATAGCATGTGCAATTGTTGTGCAACATGGGTTTTCATGGAAATATAGAAATATCACAGGATCATACCTGTTAACTGTTGAGCTACAACGGCGATATTCCCTTAACCAGAAGGTGGCAGAAAAGATCTACTTTTTAAACTTGCCCTTTGTTGTTTACTCAGCTGATGGAAAAATGTGTAGTAGTGGATCCTTTTTCCCCCCTCATTATCATATTTATGTAAACCCAAAAATGACCAGGCCAAATCCACTAAGGCACTTAGTTTTCTTAATATTCATAAAAAATGCAGTTATAAATATCTAATGTGTCAATAATACAAGTCTATGGCATGTGCAGCCAATGAGTCAAAAATAATCATGAATCAGGAATCTTCGAGTTTGCTTTCACCTTTTAAGTAACATAAAAAACCCACGTCTCCATTTTTTCTTTGAGTTTTTGATTGTTTGTCCCCTAGAGTCTTATTGCTGATTGCGGGAGCTGAGTCTGCACTCTGGCTCATTACATGCTGTGAGCAAAGCCTGTAAACACACCACCAACACTCTGATGAAAAAGCCATGGGCACTTTCTGTAATTAATACCAGGCGTTAGGCCTCATACATCTCTGTCATACACTATAAAAAAAATAAATAATTATAATAGAATTTTGTGCCACATCTAAAATATTGGTTATATATATATAATATTGGTTATTATATATATTATATATATGTGTGTGTGCCTACCCTCTCCTCAAATATGGTCAATACATTCTTTTTTCTTTTTTTCTTTTTTTCTTTTTTTTTTAAAGCAGAGTACAATAGACCTTTCACACATGTACCAAGGTCGTTTATTTGTCTTTCATCTTCAGTAGTTTGTTTTTGGTCTTTTTCTTTTACTGGGGTCCGTTCTTCGTACATGGATAACTCGTTTAGCTGGATTTGGTTATTGATGATTTGACAATTCACATGGTCCAGAATAGTTTTGTTCTTCAAAATTAATCTAAGAGCTGTTGTCATAGCAACAGGCCTGGTAGCTCAAACCTGCTTGGGATCAGGCTTATTTTATAACAGTATTAGATTTTGTCATGTCAAGCAAAGGTGATGCTAAAACTGCTGATATTTTCTTACAATAGTGTTGTGTAAATATGGGGAAAATTACTATATTTTATGTTTTTTTTTATCAGAAGTTAAAATAAATGAATGAATAAATAAATACATACATTTGTAATCTAAACTCCGAAATAAAGCTGCAAAACCTTATAGTGACTAATGTGTGCACTTTAGGTAGGCTAATAAAATACTGTTTTAAGATACCAATATGGACATTTTTTAATACAAAGGCATATTTTGAAAGGTAGCCCCAGTTTAAGTAATGTTTCTGAGAGTGTATGTTTGTTTTAGAAATAACTATTTAGAAATAATTATTCATAAATAGAAATAATTATATAATTACTGTAGTCATGCACACAAATTGTTGAGAGCTGGAATGTGGGTAATTTGATATAGTGGTGTAGACACTTCAAAATCTAAATGCAAGTCAAAATGCTTTTTTAATGCAAAATTAATTTAAATAGGCACTTATGCCTTATGCCACAGGATTAAAAAACTCGAATAACCTACTATTCTGAAGCAAATCCAACAACCCACAACTAATATGGAAGGTTATGGCATATCATATTTAACAAACCATTTATTTTAATGTGTATTTTATGTAAATTTTGGTCACATGTATTATAACTAATTATTAATCACATTATTTACGCTGATTATTATTGCATTAAGCTGTCTTCTTGCTAATCGCTGCATTGCTGATCATGATTTTGAGAATCAATAAATTGGACCTAAGGCTATACGAGATCTGATATTGTTAATAACAAAAACTGTTCATACATCAAATGTTCATACATTTAAGAATGATTTTTTTCTAAAACATTCTTCAAAGTTCTGTGAACCTTCTTGCTAGAGACAGATGAGTCATATTGATTCACATTTGATAAGTGATTCATATTGATCGACCAATTAAAATAGACCTATTCAATCAAGCGATGTATTCTAGCTGCATTTCCTCTCTGTCTCAAAAAAAAAAAATGAACGTGACAATTAATAGTCCAAGAAAGTCACTCTTATTATGTTTTGAATTCGGCCATCTTTTTTTAAATATTCCTAATGATCTGCAGGGAATCTGTGAACAAAGACAGTGCAGCTCAAGAGTTTGTTGTTGGGGTTTAAAGGGGGGCGAGCAGGCGGAGGGAGTGTGGATAGTGAAGCTGGGTCAGTAGAGCAGCAGAGTCGAGTCTGCCTCCTCCGCCGTCAAAGTTGCTGATGTCGCTGGTCGACTAAGAGCAAGCCTTCTTTTGCGGGACAAGTTTGTCAGGTGAACAAAGCCTGCTAAATCGACTTGAAACTTTAAGTTTTTAACACTACTAGAGATTGACCCGAAAGGATATCGGACATTATGAACTTGGCAGTGCCATTGTGCGCTCGAGCGCTTTTCTTGACTCAACGTGAGTATTTACCTGCATTGAAGTATTTGTTGATATTTACATTTTTTGAAGTTCTTTTTACATTGACAGTTGGTAGAAGAATGAAAAATTAATAAACATTGTCTAGATTAATTTTTTTACGAAATCTGAATTAAATACATAGCAAAGTGTGTGTGTGTTTGATTGATAAAACTGTACTGTACAAAAATATGTCAGGTCATTCCCCCTCACCTGAAGATTTATATCTTTGCATGCCTCTTGAGAGTCATTGTACATGTTTGTGAATATTTTCTTTCGTTTAAACGTTTTATAATGTCATGTAATGGTTTTCCAATCTGTATTTTGCACTGCTGAGACCCAGACCCAAATGTCAAAACCATCTGGTGTAGATACTTTTATACCTGTGTGTCCAAGACTTTTGATGCCTTTGTTTTGAAGTAACCCACAGAAACATTTCTGCTTTAAACAAACAGGTTTGCATAACACAAGCCCCAGAATCTGCATAAAAAAAAACAGTTTTTTGAAATTCCTTGCAATCATTGCCAGATGATTGTGGCAAAGACTTTTATGTTGTTTTGAGGAGGATTCAGGTTGTGAGCGTGAGATGTTTGCTTTTGATGGTCGACTCTTGTTTTTCTCATTTTGCTGAAGTGTGCAATCCAATGATAGTTCATCAAGAGCCAAAGCTTATACTTTTGGAGGTCACTGGAAATGGAATGAGTCAAGAAAATTGCACTTTACAACTCAGCAATGACTCAGGGTGACACAAACTGCATTTGGCTTAAGGTTTAATTTAAAACAAAGCTTTATAGTTACTTAACAACAGCTCATCACAATTTGATTCAATATTGAAGACTTATGATTAACTACATTTTTGTTTATCAACATGGCCACTTTTATAGTTATTTTTCAATAAGATGCTTAATTGCAAACTAACCCTTGTTTGAACTGGTCCAGTCTTTTTAATTAACTATATTAAATTAACACACTAGCCATTTTTGTTATTCTTTGTATTTTGAGCTGAATATGCCATTACACAATGATTATGCTTATTAAACAGGTCAAGACAACAAGAGACTTATGTATACACACTTTGGCTATTAAAGACTATTGAATATCCAGGTCTGAAAATTAGATTTGAATTTCAAGAGATTTTTTGCCATGTGCACGGTAACAATCAAAACCTCCCCTCCGTTACTTTTTAATGATCGAAGTGCGACATTTAGCCAGTTGTAATTATTGGTGCCATTAATAATAGATGAGGAGCAACAAGACACAAGTTTAACAGACATAAGGAGGACAAAGGGAATGGGACTGTGCCAAACAAAAGAAAAGAATGAAACAAAAATCAACTAACCAACCAATTTAACTCTTCCCCGAATTACAAAATAAAACAAAAAGTAAACCTTCAACGTCTGAGACGTCGTATTTTAACTCTCTTCTTTCAGAGCAAAACTTACAAGTGTGGCACAAATCCGTAACCTAGTGTGTATAAATAATAGAATGCTGCGTGTGTTCCATGTAGGCCTGAGCGATTTGGCCTAAAATCTAAATCTTGATTAATTAAACATTTCAACTCAATTGCTATTAATAAACGATTATTTTATTTATTTATTTATTTTATGTTTCTGCCCTCATAGTTCACTTACAAGTTTTGTACATGTGCTCACAAGTACGAGATTTTTGAAAGTAGGGTTGATTACTTAATTTTTGAATAATTGAAGTAAACACGCACTATTTCTATATTTCTTTATTGAACATCAACATTGAACAACTGAAAGTAAAACACATTGCCTAAAACGCAGCTCTTTGCACCACCGCTACCAAACTGACTAATCACAAAGCTAGTGCTAAGTGTCGTTGTGATGTATAAATACATTTTTTGAGGGATGAGCGGGTATACAAAGGCGGTGCCAGACTGTTCCATGCTCTTGGCTGAAGTATAATATCATATTAATATGATAAGTATAAATCATAATATAATAAGTATAATTCAGCATTAACAGAGTGGGGTTACGTGACTACACACACGGTAGAGAAATCAATTATAAGTTCTGAATGACGACTTTTATTACAGCCCTAGCGCCATGTATATCAAGCAACAGAGGTTACCAATTTCCTCTCTTCCATCCAGAATAATGCTTTAAGCTTTATAATGCATAAAGCACATTTTCCATGATTTAGTGATCTCATTTACCTAAGAGAATAAATGAAGCGTGTTCCATAAAATCCCCTAAACATGTCTCTTATTACCGTTTAGTGTGGACATGTCATGATCAGAAGCAGCATTACAGAAAATAATACAGAAAACAAATAAAATATTGGGAAGAAAAATAACTGACAAAGCAATTTAGAAACACTGCAAATAAGTGGAAAAGAATTCGACATGTCTCTATCAAGAAAAAGTTTGAGCGCATATTTGATGCATAAGAAGTTAAAATGCACACCTATAAATTAATATTTGTTTATTGCAGTAAGTATATTACAAAAAATTATATTATTAAATATCTACGTTAAAAATAATAATTTAAAAGTTTTTATTTTTTATTTTTTTTAGTTAGGTTTTAGTGAACTAGAAATATTGTAAAAAACTTTCAGTACTTCTATATGAAAAAATGTCTGAACACATTCCAATATTTTGCTCTCCATCTAGCATCTGTGTGTAAACTAACACCTGTGATTGGTTCATGAGAGTGTCCAGATTGGTCGAGTACCGATTGAGTCATAAAATGTGATTATCAGCCGATACCGATCTGTGGCTGATAGATCGGAGCATCCATAGTTAATACATAAATATACATTATAATATACTGTACAAAAACAGGAAAGATCCAAAACTGCTATAACACTTCTCTGAGTACTATGGGCAGAAAATGAGAACACTAGCTAATTTCAGGTCTAGAACTATTTATGAAAGCTCCTTATTAAATTACTTTCAGTTCCTTTAAAACCTCTGAGCCGGGACTTCAGAGTTACAGAAAATGTAGCTACAGTATATTTCATGAGGAACGAGAAACTGAATTATAATAAAATGCATTTCAATCTTTGTTCCTACTCACTCTACCAACATTAATGACATTTTAGATTACATTTTCATATTAACATTTTCAAGTTCTGAATTAATTTATAGAAAAAAGTTTGAAATAAGGCCATGCGGGTGTGGAAGTATCTGTAAAGGGAGCATTCAATTTGTGAACTGTCCCTTTAATTTGAGTGATGAACGTAACATGAGAAAGACAGAGAAATGAATATAAGCTGTAGGTTCACAGTGTCGTGTGCAGGTGTAGCTTTGCCCTCAGCACATTAGTGTGAATATGACTATTTGGATGTGAATGAAATCAGTGTATATGAGCACACAGACAAGTCCTAGCATTTGAAAGTGCTTCCTCAGCAGATTCCAAACCCTTGACCCTCTCCCTCTCCCTCCTTCTCTGCTTTTCACCCTGATGTTTGTGGTTTTTCTGGCTTCTAACACATCCTTATTACTGCCAGCCCGCCTCAGGGTTTGCTGGTCGTTCACAAAAGCATTTCCACTCATCTCTCTCACGGAAAATCATTATGACATACTGTACAGCATCATATATGTAGAAAAGATGCACTGCTGTGCAGCTTAAATGTCTGAAAAAGCATTAAATACTGGGCTGTTGGTTTAGAAGAATGGCCTCTTGGGAAATAATTGTACAGACAGTGAATGGTTACTGTTCCAGTGGTTAAGTCATCTGAATGGTAGTCACATCTGTTAAAGACAGCTGTGCAAAAAAGTATTATGGTTTAAATCTTTATGAAATATATGGATGTGAATGTGAAACGTTAAAATGCCTGTCTGACTGTCTGTTTGTGTGTGAGTGTGTGTTGTACTATATGACACAGACTCATGGACATTTACTTAAAGGAGAAGCTGCTCTGAATAAACACACTTTTGGAGAAACTTTGAAAGATCTGTTATTAAATGTGGTTGAAAATCTTGAGAGTTTCTATCAAAAGTAAATTAAACAAGACTTTAAACTATAAATTGATATTGTTATTGATATATATTATAGAAATGTGTTATTTATTAACTTTATTTAAATTTAAGATACAAGTGAGATCTTTTATTTTTCGTTTTCTTATAAATTTTGCATCCCAAAGATCAGTTGTTGAGTGCAGTGATGCTTTTTCCGTTTTTGTAAAAGAGCTGAAAAGATTGGTATATAGCTTTATTATGACTAAGCCAGAGGTTGTTGTCCCAGACTCTTCTAATACAAGACAATCTGGGATTTTCCATCCAACCACTCCCTTAGTCATAAAATTCAGAAAGTCAAAAGTTCAAAAAAGTTTTTTCTGTCATTTTTATTCACTAATTTGTTGATTTCTTGCCTTTATTAAATGCAAAATAAATTATTTATTTATTTATTATTATAAGATGAACTAATAAGAATTTATGCAGTTAAGCTCTAAAATGCCCCTCAAGCAACACTATAAATGAAATCACAACTTGTGCACTCTCTTCCAAGTGTCCCGAAGATGAAAAGACTTTTGTGAGTCTTTTTTTTTTTTACATTCGGATGAGCTGTTTCTGCGAATGAATAATTAAATAAATCGCTGAATCAATCAGATAGAACTTTATTTAACAAATCTGATGAAAAAATACAGCTGTCTTCACAAATCATACATAGTTAGAAATGTACAAATAGTGGATTTTATCAAATTTTAAAATTATCATAAATATTAACAAATGCAAGTAAATGTTGGAAAAATGATCGAACAATCCATGTAAAATATTTCTACAACATTTATTATTCTTTGTTGTGGTCACAATTGTAATTACACGCTTTATTAGCTTCTATTTTATAACACTTCCTGATTATATAATCAAAATATATATATATATATATATATATATATATATATATATATATATATATATATATATATATATATATATATATATTATATAATCAGGAAAAAAAAGAAAAGGAATTTACAAAATATAGTTTTTCTGTTTTATGTTTTGGATTGCTACAAACCACTACCTTTAGACATGCAACTTTACTGGGTAACAAATGCATGACTGGATATAAAATAGATTCAATAAATGGTAACAATATTTAAATTCAACATTTGGATCAGATTTAAGTTAGCATGCTTTTCACATTGACTGAAAACACACTGTTCATTCTTAACAAATGTAGCATCTAGTTAATTATTTGTTATTGTAATTATTATAATGACAACATTACTGCAGAATATGATATCACAGCTGATTAATCATCAAAAACAATCAATTAGTTGACCTTTAATTGTTGATTCATGAATATATCAGATAGCTTATGAATGATATATTTTATTTTTGCCGAACTGTCCCTTTAAGGTTGATTTGAATTTCACCTTGACAAACATTTCAGTGGCTGAGAATAATTTGGACTTGGGTAATGTCTAGTTAAATATTTATTTTCTACGTCTTACCAGAGTTTACAAAATAGTAGTTGACTTGCTGCGAGTGTTTTCGACTCATTTTGTAGACATAAAGAGGCATGGGGGTTACAGACTCATAAAAAAATCTGTAAATATAAGGTTATAAGGTTTACAGATGGAAAATACTGCAATGTTCCACAGAATGTTTGTTGACAAAGAACTGCTATATAAATAGGGAAACCTGCACAGATGGCTTTGAGTTTTACCAGGTTTTTTTCCTGTATTATGCCTAGTGTTTTCTTATGCTCAGAAATCATTTGTGGATAGTTTTAAATTTGATATAAAACATACAATCTGTCAGATTAGCATTATTGTTGAAGTGTCTGTTGATTGTTCAGAGAGTCCGTACAGTGATTTCTGGAAACACTGTGATAAATGGGGTGCACCTGTGATGAAATTTATGAAGTGGCCTGTGTATTTATTCTTAATATTATTCTAACTCTCTGTTTTTTATATTTTACAGTTTTGACTTCATTTCTCTTCAGCCCTGGTAAGTGATTGCTTATTTCCTAAACTAATGTTATAATAAAAAAAATACTGCTGTATAGAGGATTAGTACACTGTAAAACCTAAAACGTTAAGGTAACTCAAACCGTTTGAACCATGTAAGTTCAAAAATACTGTGAACTTAATTCATTTGAGTAAATGAAGCAATTTAAGCACAGTAAAGCCTAATAATTAAAGAGAACTCAAACCAACCAAGTACTGTAAAACCCAATAAGTTAAGGCAACTCAAACCGTTTGAGGAAACCAATTGCTACAAACCATTTGAGTTAAAAAAAACTAAGTATACTGTGAACTTGATAAACAGATGAGCCATTTATATAGAGACACCTTAATAAAATGGGAACATTATACATAATATGATATTAACGTCCTGTTTGTGGCACATTAGTATATGTGAGGGTGCAAACTTCTCAAGATGGGTGGTGACCATGGTGGCCATTTTGAAGTCGGCCATCCTGGATCCAACTTTTGTTTTTTCAATAGGAAGAGGGTCATTTGACACATCAAACGTATTGGAAATTTCACAAGAACAACAATGGTGTGCTTGGTTTTAACATAGCTTTATTCTTTCATGAGTTTTTACAAGTTTCTGACCACTTGTAAAATGTGTTCAATGTGCTGCCCATTGTGTTGGATTGTCAATGCAACCCTCTTCTCCCACTCTTCACACACTGATAGCAACACTGCAGGAGAAATGCCAGCACAGGCTTCCAGTATCAGTAGTTTCAGGTGCTGCACATCTTGTATCTTTACACTAGAGTTTCTCACTTCAGTTATCTTCGCCTTGAAGAATCCCTTTGCACACTTTGATATTAGGAGGATATATGAATTGTGTATTGTCATCCTTAGATCGTAGTTCTATTGAAACTACTCCCTTGTACAAGTCAGCTGAGGCCATTAAAACATTTATAGACACATATGGGTTATTGGATATTTGGCAATTTCGTAATCCGGTGTGAAAGCTATTCCTTTTTCTCATCTGTCCATCAGACATATTCCTGCATGGACTACTTTTTTCTAGATAAAAATCTCATGCCTCTGTTTAGTTTTTGTGAGTATTGTGCTATTGTTATCTCTGACCATGCCCCTTTATTAATGACGCTGTGCATTCCAGTCACACTTGACAGATATTCTCCCTGACGTTTAAATACGTTACTGTTTTCAGATAAAACATTTATTAACTTTATATCCTCTAAGATAAAAAAAGGGATTTGTTTATTTCATTCTGACTTTAAACTTTTTGAATGGTTGTATGTTGTTATTTTACAGACATACCTAAAAAATCACTCAAAACACAAAATTGTAATCTCCTTGCCCCTTTTTTCATACCAAAATGTATATGATCTGTAAATCTGGAGATATGTCAGTAAAAGTCACATTGTTAAACTGCAGTTAAAAAAAATTAGCATGAAACCTTGTTGAAGCTAAAAATAAAGATCATAATATTTTTTGTTTTGTTAAAATACACATTCTCACAGCTCTTAATTAACAGATATGTTTTGTTGGAATATCTAGCCAATTCCATGCGTGTTGGAGAGAGTTTTCTTCAATGTCAAAAATATTAGTAATTTAATAAATGCTTAATAATTTGAGAATAGAGCTCTGGGTTATGTTACCCCAATGCAATACAAGAATTACATTCAGGAAATTCGCAACTAACTTACATTTCCCTGACTCCAACATATATACACAACAGATATTAACAGGTGGAGTTTTGGTATAATGTCACTTACAGTATCAGTCATTCTGCAGTCCATTGGCTGTTGCACTCAAACATACTTCCTCTTTCTGCAATCTTTCTCCGCATTCCAGAACTGAACAGTTAAGTACATCTTCAATATATTTCACAACTTTTACAAGCACCCAGCCCCCCCCCCCCCCCCCCCCAACCCCCACCCCCCCCCTGACAGTGAAAGAAATGTTTCCTTAGCACTAGATTTTCATATTGTTGTATTTTCTAAAAAAAAACTTTTGACACCAGATTGAAGATTGGTGAAAACAGATTTTTCATCCCTAGTATAAAATAGATTTTAAATGAAACCATTTACATGTTTGTTATATTACATAATACTACTTTCTTTTAAAATCTTTGCACTAATCTTTGAACAGTAGTGTACTGTTTGGTGTTTGATGCAACATATGCTTTATAGCAGCAGCCCTGCTCTGTTTACTTTGTGTAATCACATATGACAGTGTTTTTCTCTGATTAGACTTAATCTATGTCAGGAAAACTGGTTCTCTGTGTCTCAGCACTAGGTCAGAGTGATGGCAGTGGTGTGGTGGTGGCCATGTACAATATCAGTGCCCCTCAGGGCTCTCAGGCGGTACTGCAGTGTCATAGTCAGCGCATGGTGTGGACACAAGACAGGCTAAAAGACCGTCAGCGGGTCGTGCACTGGGATTTACTTCGAAGTGGACCAGATCATGCCATGGAAAGGGTTGTAGACATGTTTTCTGCTGGAGATCAACGAATCTACAATGGCTACAACCAGGGACGTATTAGCATGTCCAAAACGGCTTTTAAAGATGGCAACTTCTCAATGGTAATTAAAGGTGAGACACTTTTGGGTAACATAAGAGATTCACATCAAAAAAGGAAACTAAGTCATCATTACCTCACCGTCTGCTTGTTCTAAATCAGTTAAAGTTTATTTACTGTTGTACACAGAATTTGTTTTTGAATCTGCTACTATGCTGATGCACTGGTGTTTCTCAATATCATTTCATTTGAATTTAAAGCGGCAGTCACCAAAACAGCACAATTTCAAAGTCTAAAAGGGGCAGTTTCAAAGAGTTATAAAATATTTATTGTGGGATATTTTGCAACATAGGCTCATTTTGAAAACATATCCCTATAAACAATTCTGGGGATGACAAATTATATAGCCAAAAATACGTATGGCTGCATTTCGTCTTTAAAACAAACGCTACGGGGCGGTATGACGTTGTTCCTTTTTGCGCTTACCAGCTGACCGAATACCTTCGTATGGATGGCTTTCCCATTGTTACCAGTTTGTCCAGTAGTGACGGAAGCAGAGAGGAGTTGCGAAGAATGGTTCTAGAAAGCAGGAAAGACATAAACAAAAGCCCCCCCCCCCCCCCCCCCCCCCCCCCCAAAAAAAAAAAAAAACAAGTAAATAACTGGGTGAGAATGTGGTAAAATCTGAAAAATCAGGCGAGGACTTTTCTCGGTTGCTTTTGAAAACTGTCGGTTGGGTTTAGGGAAATGAGTGGGCGGGTCAGTCGGTGCTTTTGAAAACAGTATTGGTTGGGTTTAGGGAAGGAGGAGGGTAGGTCATTCGATTGATCAGGCAGTCAGACAGATGGTGCGAATGGCACTCGCGAGAGTATTTTGAGGTCTAAAATACTCAAAGGGCTCTGGTGCATTCGTGAAAAACAAAACTGCAAAAAAAAAAAAAAAACATAACCCCTGTGACGACTTTGGCGCTCTATAGAAATGTATATAGGGGTATGTTTTCAGAATGAGCCTGGGTTGGTCTTTTGAGCTGAAACTTCACATACAAAATGTAGGGATATCAGATACTTAATTTTAATTTTGTTTAATATTGTAGCATAATCAATGAAATAGCAATTAATCAATATACAACTATAGTAATAAGATTTAAATACTGGTGTAAATGGGGTCTGAAACGTTTTTGAACTAATTCACTTTGTTGAAAATGGTTTTGATCTCATTGTATTTGTAGTGTAAATACATTCTGTGATTTTGTCCTATATACAGATGTTGTAACGAGTGACAAAGGGATCTACTCCTGTAACCTGCATCATCACTACTGTCACCTGTATGAGTCTGTCAAAATTCAGCTCAATGTCACCAAATCAGGTTGGTAAATTTACTTCATAATCCAGGTTCTTGTCTGGCCATTCTTGGCGTTTAACCTGCCTCTCGATCAGACTATTCAACTTCATGCCAAATAAGGAACTGGCAGCAGAACAAAGAATGGAAAGAATGTGAAGACCATTTGAAGAGAAAGTTTTGCACTTGCATTTTGTTCTACTCCATTCGCCGGCTTTTTAAAGAAATTATATATGAATATGCGTTTATAATTTGAAGGTGTCTTCAAGTATCAAAAATTACGGTGTAATACAGCTTTACTTTATGGTACATTAGAGTGCAATGTTTGTTTTTTCCTGAACAAATATGAATGACTATCATACATTTTTACAATTCAATATAAAAAATAATTGATGTACCCAAAATTCTTGTGCATTTAGAACAAAATAATTTAATGACATACCTAAAAGTCTATCTCCCATAATAATTGTTGTTTTACATCTTTATACTTTTACAAACCTTTACACTTTTCAGTGTTCAAGAAAATTTCAATCCTTTACAGTATAATAAATGTCTGTATGATCAGTTATTCTTGTACATATTTTATAAGTAAATGTCAGAATAAAATTAGCTGCTCTGTAATTTACAGGTGTTTCATGTTTTATTACATGTTAATCAAACCTTTACAGTTAAACTAAGTGATCTTTATTGACATTTTTTAGTAGTTTGAAACAGGATATTGTATTATAAATAATATATACCGAGAGAAACCTTGATACATTTACAGGATTCTTTATTTATAATTAGTTTGTATTCTGTGGATTATAAAAGCAGATTTTTTTTTGTAATGATGCAAATATCTTCAGTCACTTTTGACCAGTTTAACACAAACATTAATTTCTTCACAAAATGTTTAAACAGTCATTATATATACATATATGCATACTTGTATTCAAGCTGCTCACTGATCCACCTGTGGTTTTCTCTCAGCTCGTAAGGAGAGGCGGTTTTGGGATGGTCAGAAGGCAGTGTATGTGGTTCTGGTGGGCACCACGGTGGTTCTCCCTTGTTTTAACCGCCGTCCCATCTGGACAGAGGGCAACAGTCAAGAGGATCAGCAACAGGTAGTGCACTGGGATCGTCAGCCTCCGGGGGTCCGGCACGACCGTGCAGATCGACTCATCGACCTGTACGCTTCCGGGGAGAGGCGTCATTATGGGCCACTGTTTGTTCAGCAGAAGATGAATATTTCGGCCACAGCATTCACACAGGGGGATTTCTCCCTCATCATCTCCAACATCCAGCTTCTAGATCAGGGGATATACTCCTGTCATCTGCACCATCACTACTGCGGCCTGCATGAGAGACGCATCTTCCAGCTTACTGTGAGCCCTCCGGTCCCTCAGGAGCCCACAGATGAACCTCAGTTTCTTCCCAATGAAGACCCAAGTAAGAGAAACAGCTTTACTCTCATAAGAAACAAAACTAATTATTAACAAAACTAATTATGAGCATCATTAACAAAATACAATGTGAATGCATAAAAGGCTTTTAATAACCATGATTAATAATGATTAAATGCATAAAATACAGATTATGAATGAGTAATAAACCACAAGCATTATATATAATGATATACAAGCTCATAGACGTGCCATCATCTCTCTCCTCATAGACTGGGTAGCTGAATACCCGATGGTGTGCTCTCACCCCATATGACTGAGCTTCCAAAATTTCTGCAAAGAGGGTCTCCAACTTTATAGTTAATATTTGGGTGCTGACTAAAGAGCAATCCTCTGAATGAGAGAGAAAGTTGATCAGGCTTGATCTCCGTCTTGCTAGTAACACAAAAAAATGGGTTTATTCTGAGGCTATATGATCAGGGTCAAACATTTTGCACCTGGCGCTTTTGAAGAATACTGTTATGCAGCTTTTAGCCATCCATATCAAGCACAGCTCGATCCTCAAGGCCACAAAATTCCCTTCCGTCCGTCTGTTAGCACATCAAAGGGCAAAAACAGAGAAAAACAACTCATGTTTTACAGTTGGGCTTAGGTCAGTGGTTCACTCGATGATTTGTACAACAAGCCCTGCCTTCTCATGGACATGAACAAGAGGGACATGAATCTGAAACATACAACAAAATGTACCCAAAATGTATTTCAGATTTGCAAAAATGTTAGACAGCGAGCACCATATAGTGAATGTGTACCCAGAGCAAAGTATTTTATGCTTTTCAAAAATGAGACATGTATTTCCAATTAGCCTGGATTGGAAATATCATGCACCTGAAAAGTCCAAAATAGTAAATTAATTTAATAACCATACATTTGATATTTTTTTCCAGGACTGAACAAAGTTGCACTAATCACTGTGAATTGAGGTATTTGAAAAAAAAAACTGGAGAGAGAAATGACAATCTATTAGTTTATTGAATATTCAGACTATAAGTGGCACTATTCTTAGCAGCCGAATCGAATGTTACCACTTGATTGAATGGGCTTTATCAGTGGTTATCAGCTGATAGATATAGGCCAGTAGGGTCAGTAGTGGTAGGCTCAGAAGGCTGTTATCAACCATCCACATGGTTTATCCACTATAGATTACATATGGCTGCGGCTGGAAATTAATGAGAATTATTTAATTAAATTTCCCATTAATTGTATTTTATTAACGTCTACCCCTACCCCAACCCTAAATCCAACTGTCACAGTAATGTAAAAACAGATCTGCATCTGTTGTCTTCCCTTTTAGTATAACTGATTAACCATGTGTATGGATGATAACAGCCTTCTGACCAAACCAGTAGGCACATACAAAACCCTACTGGCCCATATCTATCAGCTGATAACCACTGATAACATCTATTCAGTCGAGTGCTATCTTTTGAAGCTGGTGATTCTTAGTATGCGACCAACTGTTTTAAGGTTCTGAAAACAATTACATATAAAGTCAATTCATGATTAACAATTTACAACTTGTTGGGTGTTAATTTTAAACTCTGCTTGACATGTACTATAAAAACACATTAACAACAAACAAGGGATTTTCCCAAATGATCCCAGCTGATCACACAGAATAGTTGCTGCTGTCAGGAGTTCTTGTTTGTTATTTCGTCCCGTTTTGACTTGTTGTACCGCAGATTCTAGTAAATAGTTTTCCAGTGAATGCGTGTCTGCAGATCATAATGGAAGTCTGAAATGGCTGTCAGCAAAGTTGGACCACAATTCACAAGTTGCTCAAGCAAGTAGATGTAGGACAAGAGAGCATCTTCCTAGTGAAATAGTCATATCTTTGAAACCAGAGCTTGAGGCTAAGGAGTTCTCCTGATTTTTCGAAAGATTGGTTTAGTCAGTATTTGTTTTGTGGAAAAGTTTTGCACGACTAGGTCAGCATTTATCGAGCCAAAGAAAAACACTTTGATCTCCTGCTTATTTCATGTAAATTCAGTCTGCACTGACCTAATGATAAACATGCATTCAAAAGAAAGAGAAAAAGGGCTGAAAGTAATCACAAGTCATGAACTCAAACAAACAATCGTGGCCTAAAAAAGTCTTGAGGTGATCCTGAAGATCTGATTACCCTGCTGTCTGAATTGCCACGTTCACCTTCATTAAAATGTAATAGTTCTCCTTTAAAGCTTATTCTTCTTTTGCTTCAAGGCTGCTTTTTTCTTTAGTTTTTTTTTTCATTTGCATTCCAATGGCGTTCCCTCTCCCACTGTCACAGCTCTCTTTCTCAGTTCAGCTTTGGTTCGGATCATTCGATAGCCATATATTTTTCTTTGAGGTGCTGCCAGTCAGACAGGAGGAAAGCAGGATAAGAAAGGTCTTTTTTGTTGTTTGCATAAGACAGGGATGATGTGAATTGGAAGACAAAAATAAGGATGGAATATATATAAATACATATATTAGACAAAGATAAATGAATGCTTAAGTTTGAATATTTTTTGGGAAAAGTTTGGGAAAAGCAGGGTGGAGATTTGTCGAAAAAAAAAAAAACACTAATAAGGGAATGTGGGAAAGTCAGTTTCTATGGTTTAGTAAAACTCTGCGCCGACTGGACTCTAGACTACACAGACCTCAGTGGAATCTTGTGGATAATCACAGACTTTGGGTATGAAAGAAATGAGCTAAACACTTTCTGCACTGCTGAGTTCATTATTGACAGCTAAATATTACTGTTCTTGGGAAAACAGTGAGCATCAACACTCTGCTGTGCTGACTGTATTTCGTTTTGTTGCCAGTTGTTTGTCTTGGCTTTCTTAAAGGGATAGTTTTGCCACCATAAATCACCCTTGTTTTGTTTCACACCCATATAATAATTTTTTCTTTTGTGAAACACAACACTGAAGTTTTACCAGTGATTCAAGAGCACTTTTAAAAGAGTCCAAAGAAAGTGTGCATATTGCATATGTGCATATGTTATGTTAAGTTACATTACCCTATCTTATGTTACAATACGTTATAATGCATTGCATTTTGTTTCTTTACGCTATGATACTTTACATTACATCACCTTACCTTATGTTACTATTTGCTGCAATGCATTATGATACGATACGTTTTGTTTCATTACTATGCGTTACAATTTTTTGCATTACACTAGATTGTTTCATTACCTTACTTTATGTTATGATATGTTATGATGCATTACGATTTGTTGCATTATGTACATTACTTTATTACATTACATTACCTTTAATTACCATACGCTACGATACAGTGCATTTCATTACTATGCATTACAATTTGTTCCATTGCACAACATTCCGTTATATTAACTTACCTTATGTTATGATATGGTTTGTTGCATTACGTTATTTTATGTTACATTACCTTACCTTATATTACTATACACTATGATGCATTATGATATGTTACGCTTCATTATGATGCGTTACAATTTGTTGCATTACGCTACATTACGTTACATTACCTTATGTTACGATAAGTTACGATGCATTACAATTTGTTGCGCTGTTACTTTACATTACCTTAACCTATGATGCTATATGTAATGATGCGTTATGGTATGATATGCTATGATTCATTATGACGCGTTACGATTTATTGCATTACGATTATGTTTTATTTATTTTCTGTTTTCTGAGCCTTTCTTTTTGTGTAATTGTGAGATGAGTAGTCATGACCAGTTAAATAATCACCATTATGAGTGTTTTGAGTCACTTTTGAAACATTGTTTTGTTTATATATCTTTAATTTATATATCTTTAATCAATCAATCTGCACCACAGTCTATATAAATTCTTCATGAGTCAGTCGCTGTTGTTAACAGTTCATTTGACAAGTAAAGACAATCGGTAAAAAAGTACTTGTGTTGTGTGAGAATTGTGTGGTGCTTTTCCAGCAGGGATGCATTAAACCGATCAAAAACTATTCATTCAGAGCATTAGACACCCCTTGTACAGTGTAGATGGTTCACAAATGTCATACAAATTGGCTGTTTATCCTCCACAAGCTTTCACTTGTTCTCTTTTAACTGGTCCTGCAGTTGTGGTTCGACTTATTTATTGGTCTATTTTACTTTCCTCTCTGTCTTTCTTGTTTTCCTTCTTGCACTTTGTCTCCTCCCTTGCAAATTCCATTTCCCTTCTCCTGTTTCTTTACTTTGCTTTTCTTTACTTTGCTTTCAATTTTAACTTCTTTTTTGGATATTTACTCTCTGTCTTCATCCTTTTCGGATTCTTTTTGGGCAGAGTCTTGTTTATCTGCAGGAAAAGGGAAGTTTGCTTCATCTGTAAAGCATCTGGCCAGCTTTAACTCGACTTGAAAATCGGAGGGTGAGCCATAAGGAGGAGACTGTAGTAGATTTAGGTCAGCCCACCCTCAACATCCTCTCAAATCCCCCTTCAACCAAACCTCAAGCCATCCAAAATGTGTCTGTCCCTTCCCCGTCTTGTTTAAGCATAAAAATAAAGACAACTGTCTGGCTCCAAAACAGCCATTGCATAAAAGCACTTCCTTTTCAGAGTTTTCATAATACTGTTTATCCTCTTAAACTGTTCTTCGGCCATTTTGAACCAGCTGCTTGGAATCATGCGAACACTCACATAAAGCTTTCCAGAGGATCTGGCATATCCATAAATGTTCAGAAGTTGCAAGTTTGGACTATATTCATGTTCCCCAATGGTCTTAAAGCAGGGCGTTCCAAAACAAATCCCAATAGAAGCCTTGTTCGAGATTGTTTGGCCCATAAATATTCACTTTTCATCATGAGCCCAAATTCGATGTCTTCATAATAAGCGTGTTCTCGAAAACAAGAAAACTAATCAAAATCTGGAAGCGTTTGTTTTTAAATCATTCGCACCGTGAACATGCAAAGGAAATCTGAAGCTCGACTCAACACATCGTAACCGTAAATCACAGCTCCTGTGTAAAAGCCTGCTTTGTGGTTTTGTGAGTTACAGGAGGTGCAATAGAAGTTAA